AACTAGGCACCGTTCTTGTTTTACTGGTGATTGTGTATTAAAGATCTAAAATAATGTGAAAGAGATGATATTCCATTGCTTGGGAGGTTTAAGATTGCTATATCCTTGATATTTCCATTCAATCAGCTCCCCAAAACTATATTTATAGGAATAAAGGCTTCAAAGCAGGATTAGGATATTTCTTACAAGAGTAAAATGTGTAAATTTTGACACACTTCACTCATAACTACTTTTGATATCTTGGCAGCTACAATGGTGTCACAAAGACACTGGGGAGAGTGATCCCTAAATCTATTACCTTTGAGTCAACTCTGACTGACAATCATCCTTTCTGACAGAGAACTGACCTGCAGGATTTTCGAGGTTCAAATTCTAATGAAACTGACTTCCATATCTTTCTCCCACAGGAGTGGCTGGTAAATTTTAACCTATATAACAAGAGGCCTTCTTCAATGACTTCTAGACCTCATTTTTTCCATTTTTGAAACTGTTGTTCTTTTTCAAGTGGGAAATGTAACTTACAGAGTGAAGGAGCAAGTGTCAGCTATTTCAAGGGAGAGAAGCATTCAGGAGATAGCAGAGGCACTGAGATTATCTAACTAATCTACATATGTGACACGATCCTGGCAGGCAGGCCTAGGTCAAGGAGCTTCTCTCATATTTCGATAACTAGAGCTCAATCTTAGTTAACATGTCTTACGCTTAGGCCAAAGGTCATCACCTCTCAGTTGACATTCAGTGTTTATATCTCTTCTTTTCCCTGAGGTTACAGTTTTTCCTTTCTCTTCCTTGGAAATTCAGCTGAAGGAACAGGGCTGCCATACAGGATTGTTGCTGTTTTTAGGTGCCATCGAGTATGACTCATAGGAACTCTGTGAACAACAGATCTGAATTCTGTCCTATCCTGTGTCAACCTCACAATCTGACACCCTCAAGCTCATTGCCACAGTCACTGTGTCAATCCACCTGGCCGAGGATCTTCTTCTCTTTCACTGTTTGTTTGCCATACCTCCACCTGCAAAAGTCCAGATGGTGCCATTCACATCTTATGAGACAATTTTACAAGTCATCTCCATGTATTCTTTCCATATAACTACCATTGGATTCACATTATTTCCATTCACTGAAAAACATCTACTAGGTTTCAGATATTGTTCTAGGTGCTGGGGATTTGGTACTGAGAAACACACAAAGCCTCTGTCCTTGTGGTTGGTGCAAAAAAAGAGGTGAAATAGCCACATGAAGAATTAATACAATTTAAATATTAAAAAGAGCTTGCTCATGTAGAGGGGTGAGAAGATACTTTATCTGGAGTGTCTAGGACATTTCTTCACTTCATCAATACACAGGAGTATAGTCTGTAAACAATAGATGTCGAGCTTGAAACAGCAGACAGTACGTTATGCCTGCACCAGACATTTATTGGAAGGTAACTTGCTCAACATTTCTTAACCTAAAGAAACTAAAAAAATTAAGCCATGAATTGCAATACTTAAGGACACTATGGACAGAAGATAGAATGATCCAGGAAGCATTAAAGAAGATGGAATGGAGTACACAGTGTGACTGTACCAAAAAGAAGTGGCTGACACGAAAGAATTTCATGAAACAGCATGATTTAGAGGCAACGGTGAGGAAGGAGAAGTGCAGGCTGCTCTGAAGCTCTTGACAAAAAATAAGGCTCCAGGAATTGATGGAATACAAATTGACGTATTGCAACAAACAGGTGCAGTTGCTGCCCTGAACATGCTCACCAGGTATGCCAAGAAATCTGGAGGGCAACTGGCTGGAAAGGATTAATATTAATCCCATTCCAAGAAAAGATGACTGACAGAGAGTGGAGATTATCACACAATATCACATGCAAGCAAAATCCTGCTGAAGATTAAAAAAAAAAAAGACTGAAACAGTGCATTGACAGAGAACTACCAAAAACACAAGCTGGGTTTAGAAGCAGTTGTAGGACTAGAGACATTATCACCAATATCAGATGGATCTTGGTAGAAAGCAAACAGTATCAGAAAAATGTTTACCTGTGTGCTTCATTGACTATGCAAAGGCATTTGACTGTGTGGATCACAACAAATTGTGGCTAAATTTGAGGAGAATGGGAATCCTAGAACACTTGATTGTGCTTATGTGAAACTTATACTGGAATCAGGAAGCAGTCATTAGAACAGAGCAACGAAACACCACATGGTTCAAAATCAGCAAAGAAGTGCATCAGGGATGCATTCTATCTCCATACCTTTCCAATTTATATGCAGAACAGATCATTCAGGAGGCTGGGCTTTATGAGGAGAAATGTGGCTTCAGGATTGGAGGAAGACGTATCAATAACCTATGTTATGCAGATGACACAACACTGCTTGCTGAAACAGAAGATGACCTGAAGTGCTTGCAGCAGAAGGTCAAAGACTATAGTCTTCAATATTTATTGAAGCTCAATATCAAGAAAACAAAGATTCTCTCCACTAGGCCAATTTACAGTGTCATGATAGATGGTAAAGAAATTGAGATTGTTAACAGCTTTAGTTTGTTTTATCATCAACACTTTTGGTACCAGCAGCCAAGAAATCAAAAGACAAATTGCATTAGGAAAGTCTGCTGTCAGGGACCTCTCCAGAGTACTGAGAAGCAATGATATCAGTCTAGAGACTAAGGTGTGCCTGATCCAGGTCATGATCTTCTCAATTACTTGCTATGTGTCAGAGAGCTGGACAATGACTAGGGCCAGCAGAAGAAGAATCTATGCCTCTGAGTTGTGGTGCTGGAGAAAAGTCTTGAACATAACTTGGACCACCAAGAAAACAAATCTGTCTTGGAGAGGGTGAAACCAAATTTCTCCTTGTAGGCTAGGATTTTGAAACTCCACCTCACATACTTTGGGCATGTGGCCAGGAGGGTCTGATCCTTGGAGAAGGACATCACGCTTGGACGGGTGGAGTGAAAGTGCATGAGAGGAAGACCCTGGATAAGAAGGATTGATACAGTAACGGGAACATGGGGTACGTTTGTTGGAGTCAGTGAGACCGTCTCAGGACAGGGCAGGGTTCAGATCAGCTGTACATAGGGTCTCTTTGTGTCACAGGTGACTAGATGGCACATAACAACTACAACAGCAGTACTGTTGTAATTCTCTCAGTAACTGGGGTAATAAGGGGGGGTGTGTCAGAGAGGATGAGTTTGGCTCAGGATGAAGCAGGGTTCTGAGCTATTGCACATAAGTTGACGGTACTTAATAACAGCAATAACAATACAACAGCTGTTGTATTGGGTGTTATAAAAAAAAATTCTAACTCTTAGTGGTTCTTTGTGACAAAGTAGAACTCTCTCAAGGGTTTTCTTTGTAGTAGTCTTTACTGAGGAGTCCTGGAGGTGTAATGGTTTAAGTATTCACCCTATAACTGAAAAGTCAGCTGTTTGAATCTAGTAAGTGGAAGATACAATAGTTTGGTTCCATATTTTCTAAAGATTTTAGCCTTGAAAATCTTCTACTCTCTACTATAGCAGTGCTATGAGCCAGAATTGAAGGAAAGGCAGTGCATTTGATTTTGATTTTAATCTTTATTGAAGCACATAGCTGGGTCTTTGACCCATAGAGCCATCAGATAGGTTTAACTTTCCAACTCTCTGGTTTGCAACAGATAACTTCCCCACCTGGGCTCCTTACCTACAACGTGTTGGAAGTGGTTAATTCTTATTTGTGTTTGCGCTTATTCTAGCAAGGTGACATGGTGTTTGAAGAGAAAATTAATTACTCAATATACTGAACAGGAATAGTTTGAAAGCTTTGTTATACAATATTTATAAAATTTAGGAGTTTTTTTGAGTTTGGTAGTAGAAGTGGCAGAGAAACAGATCTGGCCAATTTCAAGCATTTTTGACATTTGGGGAAAATATTTTCCAAGTTCTGGCAGAGTTCTCCAAATCATAGACACATCATTAGGCACATCATTTCCCCATAAAACACAGTAAAATGTAACTGAGATATTTAGATACCCTTACTAATTCTTGATAGGTACAGGGATAAAGAAATGGATAATGTTATTTTTCTAGATATGAATCTTCTTTTTTTGGTCTCCATTTCTAGTACTAGTAGGGGTTTTGTTTTGTTTTTTTAGTTCTTTCTCTTTTTTAAAAAATGAAGACATGAAACTTGAAAAAACTCATGCAAATTATTGCATTGTGGACAAAGACTAAAGAAGAAAGAGTATCAGAACACACTAAGAAGTTAGGCCAGGACGTAGTCTTGATAGCACCTCCTCTGTACACTAGCCTTAGAGGACTCAAGGTTCACCTGAACCCTTTAGAAAATGGGAAACTATTAACTCATGAAGCATTAGGGACATTGAAAAAGAACTGAAATTTAGGATGATAAATCTACTGTAGCAGAAAACCATAGGTATCTAGATTACACATTCATTTAATTTGGATGGCACTAAGCAATGACTTACCTTATTATTGGAAGCATATTTGAGATCACTTTTAGGGGCAGCTAAGATAAATAGGCTGGAGAGAGGATGAAAGGCACCCAAGCATCGAGAACTCTCCTTTATAGGGTTGCTATGAGTTGCCTGCGACTCGACGGCACTTAACAAGAGAAATAGGATTTTTCTGCTCTGGACAGCATATTAGAAAAGAAAAAGAATAAGATACTTCTGTGGAAGAAGATCACAAATTAGGTTTATAATCTCTTGATGTCTAAGGGATTCTATGGATGGTTCCTAATTTGTCACCACTATACAAAGACCCCACAGACTCTTTACCTTTTACAAGGGTTGGTCATTCTTATCTTCAAGCGCAAAAGTGAGGATGAACTGAGCCAGGGGTTACGGGAGGTCTTCAAACACATGAAAGCAATTCACATAATCCAGGTGTTAACCATTCAATTGAGTATCAAGGGTTTCACATTCCCACGTTTGTTTTTTGAACAGAATAAAAACACGTGGAAAGCCCTGACTAGCTCAAATGGACATTGTATAAAGGGTTTAACTTACTTCTTTTATAAACCATTGACAAAAGGCAGGACCGATCCATTCTCGTGCATGAATACCACAGTCTATCCAGACAGCTCTTTTGTAAGCGCGAGATCTTCTGCCCAGCTGAAAAGGAGAGTATTCATAGTAACCAACTAATGCTTTTATTTTGGGTTCACTGACCAACATAATTCAATAACTTCCAGTATAATTCTTCCTATAAGTTAATGCATTAAGTGGTGGGTCATAAAAAAGAAAAATAAATTTCTACTTTCTTTAAGGAATTTCAGTCATGTTTACACAGAAAAAAAAATTTATTTGCCTGTTTACAGATCTATGAATCAGAAAATAGACAAGAAAAAGAGACTCAAAATATGTTTGCTTCTCCCCTTTGCAATGTGATTATAAAATAAAAAAGGTTAATTTGTCTACTTCCTTCTCTCCTTTGTTTTAATAGACGTGTTAAAGAAATAAAGTGAAACTTTATCAGAGAGTAAAAAGGAAATATCAAACAATATGTTAATACTGGTTGATATAATTGACAGATTTTTCTTTATAAATCATCTTTTATTGACAGAATTTATCACCTGATTTCAAGCCCAGCAATCTATAGGTATCTCTTATCATTATATTTACAGAGACCTAGTTTTTACCCGTATATTATTTCATTCAATACTCTTTAAGGACATTCTTTGTATTGTGGTAGAATATATATGACAAAACATTGCTCATTTTAACAATTTTTAAGTACATAATTTGATGACATTAATTACATTTACCAGGTGCAACAATTACTATTGCTTTTTTATTTCTTTTTTCTTGTGATCAGAGTGAAAGTTTAAAAGCAAAATTAGTTTTTCACTCAACCATTTATACTTATTTTATAACAATACAATAATTACAATATCCACAATATAATAACATTTCCCTCAGTTATTCCCTGTAATTCTGATTTGCACGAATCCTTCTATACTCCTATAAGTGTTTTCAACAGATTGAGAAAAAGGCTGTGAAAAACATAGGAAACACAGAAGAATTTGGAAAAGCACCCCACCAAAAACCCCCACCAAACCACACAATACCAAATAAAAGTGAAAATTAGAATAATATAAAATCAGCAAATTAAGACTCAGAGCATTAACACATTGAGAGAAGAAAAGAACAGAATTGGGTCAGTCAAACACAGAATTGCTGGAAAGACACTATTAGTTTTAGTAGTTTTTCATACTTCTAACCAAAAACTACTCTTTAAGCAGTAACTTCCTCTTCCCAGCCTCTGGTAACCACTAGTAAATTTTTATCTCTATGCTTTTACCCAAGAAGTTCCGGAGGCGTAGTGCAGAATACCCATTGCACTTCCAAATGAAATGTCAGTGGTTCAAACCACCAACTGTCCTGAGGGAGAAAGATAAGTGTTTCCTCCCATAAAGATTTACTGCCTCAGAAATCTGGTGGAGCTTCCACATGAGTCAGAACTGATCCAATGGCAGTTGGTTTTGATTTATTGCATGTGCTTGCCTATTTTAGATACTTAAGTGGAGTCATCTAGTGTTTGTCAAGTTTATCTATATCTATATAAATATATGTAAATATATAAATATATGTAGATATGTTGTTGTTATGTGCCATCGAGTTGCTTGCGACTCATAGTGGCCTTATGAACAACAGCCCTAAACCCTGCTCTATCGTGTGCCAATCACACTGCCTCCAACACACGCATCCCAATTACCCCAGTCACTGAATCAATCCATCTCATAAAGGGTTTTCCCATGCTGCACTGTCCCTCCACCCTCCCAAGCATGATGCCCTTCTCCAACATGTCCAAAGTATGTCAGACGAAGCCTCAGAATCCTTTCCTCCAAGGAGCAGCCTCATTTAACCCTCTCCAGGATGAATCTGTTTGTTTTCTTAGCAGTCCATGGTACGCTCAATACTCCTCCAGCACCACAGCTCAAAGGCATCGATTCTCCTATCCTCCCTAGTATTGTCCAACTCTCTGATGTATAACAAGTGATTGCAAAGACCATAGCCTGTATCAGATGCACTTTAGTCTCCAGAGTGACACCATTGCTCTCCAGTACTTTGGAAAGGTCCCTAACAGCAGACTTTCCCATCGCAATACATCTTTTAATTTCCTGGCTGCTGGTGCCAAGAACTGTTGACTGTGGAGCTGAGCAAACTAAAGCTGTGAACAATCTCAATCTCTTCACCATCCATCCTGATGCTGCCAATTGGTCCAGTGGTGAGAATCTTTATCTTCTTGATATTGAGCCTCAATCCATATTGAAGGCTGCAGTCCTTGACCCTCTGCAGCAAGCACTTCAGGTCCTCCTCAGCTGAAGCAAGCAAGGTTGTGTCATCTGCAAAATGCAGATTGTTGATAGATCTTCCACCAATCCTGACGCCATACTTGTCCTCATAGAGCCCAGCCTCCCAGATAAATTGCTCTGTATTCAGGTTGAAAAGGTATGGAGATAGGACACATCCCTGGCATATGCCCTTCCCAATTTTGAACCATGCAGTTTCCTTGCTCTGCTCTGACGACTGCCTCTTGGTCCAAGTATACGTTTCGCATTAGCACAATCAAGTGTTCTGGGATTCCCATTCTCCTCAGAGTCAGCCACAGTTTGTTATGATCCACACAGTCAAACGCCTTTGCATAATCAATGAAACACAGATAAACATTCTTCTGGTATAATGTGCTTTCAGCTAAGATCCATCTTACATTAACTACAATATCCCTAGTACCACAACCCCTTCTAAACCCAGCCTGGACTTCTGGAAGTTCTCTGCTGATGTGCTGTTCCAGTCATTTTTGGATAATCTTCAGTAGAATCTTGCTTGCATGTGAAATCAATGATATTGTTCTATAGTTTCCACACTCTGTTGGGTCACCTTTCTTTAGCATGGGAACAAATATAGAATCTCTTCCAGTCAGTTGGCCAAGTGGTTGTTCTCCAGATTTCCAGGCACAACTTGGTGAGCACATACAGAGCTCCCTTAAATTATCAATGAACTTTGAAATGGTTTAAGAGTAAATGGTACTTTGAATGTGTTCAATGTTGTATATAATTCCCCATCCCTTGTCTTCTAGCTATAGCCTTGTAGCTCTCCATCCCCTCTTAGCTAAACTTCTAAAAATATTCACCTGTATTCACTGTCTCTGTATCCTCACCTCCCTTTCAGACCTTGACTCACCATCTTGCTCCCACAGTGCTTCTAAAACTGCTCTTGCCAATGTCAGTGATGACTCCACGATTGTTTTTCTTCCTTTCTCTGTGACATCAGGTCTCAGTTTGTGGCTACTCTTCCCTTATCCTTTCCTTTTCTTGTTTTTCATTTCCACTGAGATTTCTATGACTCGTGATGATCTTGCGTTGAATATAATGAAACACTGCCCATTTCTGCCCCATCTCCACAATCATTGACACAATAAATTCCTTTGCGGCACCTACTGTGTCAATCCATCTCAGTGTTTCCCCATTTCTTCAGCCCTCCATATTCCACCGTCCTTTTCTTGGACTGTGATAATTAATTTCCAGGACTCTATCTTCTCACTCCATTGATCCTTTCTAGGTTTAACAATATGTTTGCTCCGAGATTTCAGCAGTCAATCAAGATCTTTTTCTCTTGGCATTCTACTGGGATATTCACAAAAATTCTTTAACCAACAGAAATAGCCTTTTCCTCTAAAACCTAGTAACTTCTTCTCCTATTAGTGAATGCCACCATCTCTACCTGTCCCAAAATATGAACTTCATCCTAAATTCATCTTTATTTTAACCACCAACACTGGTGATTATTAATTCTAAATATCTTTCTAACTTGCTCCAATCTATTGTCCTCACTACTGCTACCCTGTTATCTCTGCATTCACCCCCTAAACCACTGTGATGGTTTCAGGCCCTCTTCCTTCTCTTCTAATCCAGTCTCCACACTATTGTCAGTGTGAGCTTGAACATGTGCTCACACACGTACAAAAGTGTCCTCATTATATAAAGGATAAGTCTCATCTTTTCTTCACAGTGTCTAATGACTTCGTGTCATCTGTGCCTCTGATCTAGCTTCATCTGTCATTCATCCACATATTTTAAAAGCAATCCCTCAAATACATTCCCTCCTAATGTTCACATTCCCTCCTAAGCTTGGAATAGCTTCCTCTAACTTCTCTACTAGGCAAACTTCAACTCATGTTCTAATATACGCATATTTCTCTTCTGAAATGCCCTCCTTGACTCCCCAAGAGAAAACAAGTATGTAACCCTTATGTTCCCAGAATTACTTAGGTACTTTACATCATAAATACTGGTTGATTTGTGGCATGTCTGTCCTCCCCACTAGTACATATTTCTTGTCTTTTCATCTTTGAATCTCCAGGGATG